TAATGTCGTCATTGGGGACCTTGATACCAAAGTTGGGAAACATACAGTTGTTGAATCGATTATGGGACCGCACGGATTTGGAAGCAGAAACTACATGGGCAAATCCTGATTAACTTCCTCGAAAAAGAGAGGCTTCATGAATCAATGTATTCCTATTTACAAAAAAAAGCCCCAAAGAAACTGAACATGGTGCAGCTCCGACAATGTGACGAAAAAATGAGATCGACTTCATTTAATGACGTACAAAAAGTACGTATTCAGAGATATTTCAGTGATCAATAAGTTTAATATCAGAAGCAATCATCGACCATCGATTTCAAGATTGTAAGTGCCGGTGTGATGAAGTGTACGCTTCAACCAAATATCTTTCAAACCGTAGTGGGATCTTAACGTTTCCAGTTGGAACTCCGGAATCGTTTGGATGCGGTAAAACTCACATGGAACATTGACGAAGATCTCACTAGTGTTGTTAAGACCTTAAGAGATGAGATATGTTGTGCAGTAGGCAATATACAGATAGGCCAGAAGTTTAAGCTCTCAGACGAGACACTTCAGCTTATACAAACGCAAAGTGAGGCAACAACAGCTGTGCCATTAGAACAGCTGGCACTCACTCGTAGGGACTCGTAGGGACTTCGGGACTTGTGGCGCTCTAATGCAACCCTGATTCAAGAGGCAATAGAGCAAAACAATGGTCCTAAAGTCTTTGCGTGGAAGTTTAGAACGAGCCACATTACAAAACTGAAGACATGTGATGGCAAAACCCTTACGTCGAAGCCTGAGATTTTCGCTGAGATTGAAGGCTACTGCGGTACACTATATGCCTTCCAAAATCAGCAACCTGACCCCAAATACGACAATCCCAAAGACAAATTAACTCGCCATTTTATAGACGAGCTGCCAGATATAAATAATATGCCAGATATGAATAAATAGAAACCGAGTTTGCCCTCGGGCAAGTTAAAAATGAAAAAGCCCTGAAGAGGACGGAGTTACAACGGAGCTCTTGGAAAGGGGGAGACAACCGTTGCTTAAAAAGCTCTGTCCAATTTTTAACTGCGTTTAATGAGATTGCAGAACTCCAATGGCGTGAAGCAGAAGCATCACAGTCTTGTTTTACAAGAATTGTGACAAGACTATATTAAAGAATTATCGGCCCATCTCGTTTCTGAGCCACATCTATAAGTTGAATTGACTAGCGCGGAGACTTTACAAATTTCAATCACCCGAGCAATCTGGGTTTCGTGGAGACTATGACACCACTGAGTACAATACCACTACTGTGTGAATGAAGTCCATGACGCCATTTAAATTATAACAGAATTAAATCAAATTATACGGAAGAAGAGTGAATATAATCAGCCTCTGTATCTGACCTTTGCTAATGATGAAATAGCCTTTGACTCCATTGAAACTTGGGCTGTTATAAATTCCTTGCAGCGTTGCCGGATTGATTGGCGATATATAGATATCTTGAGACATTTAAACACTACAGGTTTCATGTCCGTTTAAGTATAGGGTGGTCTTACAAAACCTATTCAGTTGCATCGTGGAGTGAGACAAGGGGCTCAATATCCCCGAAACTGTTCACAAATGTACTGGAAGATGATTTTAAGACCCTAAACTGGAATGGACGCGGCATCAATATAAACGGCGAGCACATCTCACACCTACGCTTTGCCGATGATATCGTTGTCATGGCAGAATATCTGCAGGAACTACAAGACATGCTGAGCAACCGAAATGAATCAACATAACGTCTCGGTATGCGTATGAATTTAAATAAGACGAAAGTCATGTCATACCAGATCCGATTATTGTTGATGGTGAAATTCTTGAAGTTGTTCTAGAGTATAATCTACCTCGGCTATATAATGCAGATAGATAAAACAACTCCAAGAAAGGAGCCGACAGGCGGATTCAGTTAGGCTGGGAAGCATTCGGGAAGCTTTGTCAGGTCTTTTCGTCGCACATACCGTAAAGATTGAAGACGCAAGTCTTCGACCAGTGCGACTTGCCAGTACTCACATACGAGTATGGTGCCGAAACGTGGAAACTAACGGTACAACTACTTCACAAGCTCTAAGTCACCCAGCAGGTGAATAAAAGAGCTATGCTCGGAGTTTCTCCGGTGGATAAGATTCGTAACGAAGAAATCCGACGGAGAACAAAGTCCACCACCGTAGCCTTCCGTATTTGCAGGCTTAAGTAGCAGTAGGCTCATCACATTTGTTGCAGAAGCGATAACTGTTGGAGTAGGCGTATCAAAGAGTGGGTCCTTTTCTGAAAACGGGCCTTCCCCAAGGAATGCCACAAAGCACGGTCCTGAGCCACCTGCATCCATCGACTTACGGCGTGTCTCATCAGCTCGTCACTCCATCATTTCTATAAATAACTATTCCCATAGAGTTCCGTAGTCTCTACGCAGAGACTACAAACCCCTATAGATAACGAACAGGAGGGTTTATATAGGTGTATTCATATTAAAACAAGTTTGTGATCACTTTTAAAAATCGTAATCGTTTTTGTTACGGTAAACTATATTATAATTTCTTCTTCTTTTTAGATTATTTACTTAAAAAATATAGAATTATAAATAAACAATAAAATAAATTTATTCATGATTTTCCATGTGAAAAGAAATTCAATTCATGCTTGTGCTCATTCAGAAATCTGATTGAGTCAATTTTATCGGATTTAAAATATTTTTTAGAGGAAAGTTTTGATTGAAAAAACACCAAGACGATTACCAGAAGTTTTACGAATAAGAAAATTTAAAGGTAGAAGAATAGTGCATGAGAGAAATAGCACGCAGTTGTTGTATCACAATCCTGTGTCCTGGCTACGTTGCAGAGGTACCACGACATGTCACCAGACTCGACGACTTCCAGCATCCCGAGCAAGCCGGTTTCCGAATAGGGCCCAACTTGGCACCATAGACCACTAATATACCCTTGGGCAAACAAAAAAACAAAACAAACAAAAATTTTGTCACACGATTCCGAATAAATTATGGGCACCAAATTGTACTGGTCCAGATAATACGTCCACATATCAGGTAACGAGTCAATGCTGCTCTCCGAGAATGCGACATCACAAGGTTAGACTGACTTGTCGGCTGGCCTGACTTAATACCAATAGTGCACGCGTGTAATGCTCTTAAGCGAGCTGTTCGAGATCATCAGCCACCTCTCCAGACAGTGCCAGAGATCAGGGAAGTCACTATTCAAGAATGGGACAGGTTACCGCAAGAAATGGTGGATAACTTGATCCTTAGCATGCCCAGGAGAATCTCTGATTGTGTTCGAGCCTGAGCCGGAGTTATATTATATTAAATAAAAACCTACTATTAATAAATTGTTGTATAAATTTGGTTAAACAATTATTTGTCTGTAATTGTTACAATAATTTCTGTTACAATTACATTAGGACTGAATTACTAAATTTTTGTGAGTTTTATTTTTTTAATTTCAATCAGTGTATTTCTCTTTAAAACAGATATAACGTAAATACATAAAGGGCCGGCAACGCACCTGCAATTCCCCTGGTGATGCGTTTGATCATGGGCGGCGGTAGTCACTTAACATCAGGTGAGCCGCATGCTCGTTTGCCCCCTCTTCTAAAAAAAATACTTTTTCTTGATAAAGTTAAATTTTAAAATATATCAGCTTTTGAAAGTGATCACTTGCTTTTTGGATGTGTATTTTTTGTTGAATGAACAAACCGAATGAAAATAAATCTTCAAATTAATTCAATTAGGAAAGAACAACCAACAATGAAATTATAAGTTAACAAATATATCCTTTCTTATTTTAAATCAGGTTCTTATTTAAATTCTTGCTTCTTATTGTGAAAATGGGCTTAATCTGCTGTTAATTCACTAGAGAGCCCGCAGAAATACCGCATTTTAAGAGGTTTTCTAAACTTATCACTATTAATTTTATAATAACAGGCAATATTTCATGTATAAAACAAAGCATTTAAAGATTATTGTATTTATAATTTAGAAACCCTTTCCGAATACAATTTAATTCAAACCTGCAAATTATGGTTGCCAAAAATATTTAAAAGGGGTTTGGATTAATTCACTCAGTTTTATGTTTATGTTTTCAGATTTTCTTTTATCATTTGTGTATTTAAGCACCCTTTTATAATATCAGGAGTGACAGATGAGTTAATCACCGGACGGTAATTGGCCACTGTAGTTCCTGGACTACGGCAACCGACTTCAAACTTTAAGTTGCAGATGCATTGACGGCGTTGAGGTCTAAGACGAAATGCTTAGAAGTTTGCGATTATAGTGGTTTTTTACTGTTTTAAATTATTTTTGGATTCATTGCTGTTGACAACAGAAGTCAGTAAAAGTGTTACTAAAAGAAACGCACTTTTAGTCTAATTCATATGATGTTTCGTTGAGTATAGCGGTCTGGGGGAGAGGTTCAGTAGGTGGACGGCTGTTATCATTGTTTTACGATTAAAGATTTTATTTTTAAATGTCCTAATATTTAAAAAAATATAGTAGTAATTTTACTATTTAAATATTATGTTATGTATTGTAATGACTATGAAGGAATTCAAAAAAGGTTTTAAATTTACTGGCTTTCTTAGAACCAAAATAAAGTAGCAAATGCGCTTAATAGGTACGACTTAAAATAAGCAGAAAAAGGTACGAACACGATTCCTACCCAGAAGAACTCAAGTCCTAACCACCCATTAAATAGGATGCAAAGTAAGAGTTTTTCTTTCTTCTTTTGTATATAGTTTCAGTTAAACAAATTAGAAAAATGGTTTACACGTATTATTAAACAGACATGGCAAAGATTTGGTCATATAGCTTGAAGACCCAATAACCGACGAGGAAGAAAGGTACTTGTATATACTAAGTATATCGATAATGATGTTTACAACGAAATTACTATTTAAGATATTTACTTCATTAAACCATAAGAATAATGACAATGTAGTGATTATAATATTATGTTTTGTCTATCGTCACTTACCTAACTCCTCCACGTTTAGTATCATAGTTTAGCAATCTAGTTCCGTGCTTCCAGTTCACCTGCCGGGATGACTCAGGCACCTCGCTGACAACGCAACGTAGTTCTATTATCGAACCTTCTTTGTAAAACTTGTCCTGTAGGGGTTTTCCACGTTCATCTACTATTTCTACTCTTGGCACTGTAACAAAGATTTTGAGTTGTTATTTTGCTCAGTTTTCATTCATATTTAAAAAGTCGTCATAAGACGGATTTAATGCTATAGGCATTGTCTACCAGCTAACTCTGGATGAAGTTCGCTTTAATTATATTGCACGCGAGTTATTCAAGTTGAAACCCCGCTAGCACTAAGTTTCCATGCGTTGAAGGTGTTATATCCCCAGTGGAATACGCATGGATGCTTTTTTCAAATGACTCCACAAAAAGTTTACTTAAGGCGGATTTAACGTCTTAAGTCATTTTCCAACTCGTACCAACAAATAAAGATAGATGGAGCGCTGTGTATATTTCAATTTCTCTGAAAACATGCTCAACTTCTTATTTTTGAGTCACCGGAGATTTGCCTTCATCACTCGGCAATCGTATTAACGATGTCATTTACTGGAAGCTATTAAATCTGCTTCCCATAGTCGCCTTCCCAAGGGGATAAAAAATGAGGTGAAGGGTTTTTTCAACCACCACCGCATGCCAACTATTGCAATCAAAGTCTTAAAGCTATGTATAAATATAAGTTTCCGTAGGCACATGGCGATAGGTATTTTCAGCGTTGATGTAATACCTGCGCGACAATAATAAAATACTGTTTCTCTATACTTATACACCATAAGTCTTTGTAAGTATGTGACTTTGAGGCTTTAACGTGTAATCGAAGTCAAGATAATTCGCTGGTTCCTATTTTTTTTTGTATATATTTACTTATAAGTAGAGAAAACGTATATGTGACACTATTGAACGTCATCTATTTGAAAAAAATTATCGGATATGCCACATACTACTTTCTTATCCGTTCCACTTGCAACGGTTTTTGTCGATTGTGCCAGTTACCACATTTTTGCTCAGACTTATTTTGATCTTATCGTACGTTGATATTGTGCAGAAAATTATTAATTAAAACTGACTATTTTAATATATAAGGAATAATACGTTTTAATTTAATGAAAAATTTAAGATGTATGCTTTAAAAAAACATTCAAAATAGTCACAGTAAAAAAACCGATTTCGTAATGTTGTTATTTTTATGCATTAGACTAATAAACGGCTTTGAGCGTCCCTATACGGCCAGCAGTGAATTACCACGTCTCAGATCAATAAGTCATCATTAGCATCAAGCACTGTTTGTACAATCTTGATTTCAAGTTTTGTGGTATACTTCACGAGATGATGTGTCGTCATTTCCCGAACGCCGTCTAGCCGATAATATTGTAGGAAGAAATATGTATTCAGCAGAAAACAAGCACACGACATGGATTTTCGAGAGATAGTAAAATTTCTTTTTATGTGTTTTACACGTAGTAGAGCCACGTTAAGGCCATATTATGGTTGTAGCATGAATTTTGTACACGTAGCAGAGCTGTGCTGCAGCTATATTAATTGTATAGTTGTAACACGAATGGGCCGGTTCAACCCGGGAAGAACTACGCTCTCACAGAATACCAGTGCAAAATACCAGCTTAATGCTGCTGTGTTTTTTATGGTGAGTGTAGAGAACCAGAGACCCTTTTTACTGGAAAAGAGGCATTCCATCTTAGTCCTCGCGGCTGACAATGCATCTGCATTTTGATTGACAGTCGAGGATAGGCGTAGATGTCTGATGGCCACAACAATCACTTACCATCAGGTAGAACGTGCGCTCGCTTGTCACCCTCGTCCTATAAAAAATACCAGCGTAAAATAACAGCTCAATGTTGTCGTGTTTCGTGTGGTGAGTGTAGAGAAACAGTTGGGCTGTGTGCACACTTTTTACTCTTATTCCCTTAAAAAAAATTAATCACAAACTCGCATTATTTTTATGATCTAACTTCAAAACTTGGTAAATGTGGACTTTGTATTATTTGAAAATTTGCAGTAGTTACAACAGAATTTATGTCCACAAGTTTATATTATGTTATATATTGTTCTTTTTGATTTCTGTTCCCATTGTTGAATCATGAACACCTTTTGCATTGTGTCTTCTTTATGGTGAAATCGTTTCTTGCCCTGATCTTATTTGTAGTTTTATAATTATAAATCTAACTTCTTGTGGGAATTAAATTTTTAGAAGTGGCTCGAATAGTTGCAGGTGTTTGAAGTTATATTGCTGTGTTCTACACAAATAGAACAAGGCTCGTCATGAATTGCATCAGGGGTTAGTACTTGTGTATTAGTTGGATTAAGCGATGGTACGAACTGAATTCGAACTACTATATGTACTATATACTACATACATAAATATGAATTTGAACTGGTGATGGTACTCGTGTTGGATCGTTAGCCTTGATTTTGTAACATCATCAGCAAAGACTTCCTTCCCCAGTAAAACTTGTAATAGTATTGTTTTAAACCCTCCCAGTAATGGTGAAGTCTGTAGATTTGAAAATTTAATATCACGATGTTTTTTTTTAAATAAAAAGCAATTTTTAAATTTTATTATGCACGTATAAGTCATAATATGCCAATGTTTACCGTGTATTAAGTAAAAAAGACTTAACGTAAGAAGAATGAACGTAAAACTTGGCATTTTCTGTTTCATTACTTACTAGCATCTTTAATACATCCGGGTTTATAATGAACAGGCAAGGGGATAATCTCTCGTAAAAACACCAATTTAGTCTTCAGTGGTCACAAGGACATAATTGTAACGAAAATTTGACTGACACTCAAATAGTATTTTTTTCGGCATGAACACTTCCGGCAAATACCATACATGTCCTGATGTTATAAAGTTGGTTATGGCTCATCTAACCAATTATCTTACACATGACATCTATCGAAAATTTCAGTTGTAACACAACCTACATACCAGAATATATTGTATCGAATAATAATACTAGATCTGCTTGAACTAATAAAGAAACTTGAACCAAAATGAATCAGTATTTATATTTTCTTGAAAAACTAGAACGGAGATTAACTAAATTAAATGTAGCATGCTCATTAATGTAGCAAAGTCGAACCTTAAGAAACTCTTATTGGAATGAACGGAATTGCTACTTTTTCTTTACGTTTTTTTTAATTTGATGGTATAAAACCACCCGGGGTCTTCAATACAATAACTATGCGGTAAAAATACCTGATAAAATTATTTCGCATTCGGCGACCATCTGTCCCAAGGAGGTGTTGGATTTATCGTCCACAAGTCTCTCGTTAACATCGTTGTAACAATTGGGGGTGTGTCGACGAGGATTGCGTAACTGAATCTCAGAATCACCAAACGGTATTCGCTGATGGTCATACAGGTTTACGCACCAACGTCGGCATATCCCATAATACAAAAAATCTCCGATCCCACTCTTAATCTTATGGCTGCTAGACGGAAGATGAAGCTGCAGTCGTCAGCAGATTTGACAGCATACAGGCAACTGAACGGACAATTCCCCAAATGCATGCGGCGGGAATTACGCAACTTTAATACTTCTCGTATTGAAGAAGCGATCGAGTGAAATCAGGGCTCCGAAGTCTTTGCCAGGGATCTGTCTGCCAGAAAGAGCCAACTGTCAAAGCTGAATACTGAGTGTGGCAGCATCGTTTCCGGGACTACTGATATTTGAGTGAAATGAGAGATTCTATGGGCAGCTGCACAAATCATCGTTGGAGCCACACACAAATGTGAGTAACAATCAAAGAGCAAGTCGTGTCCGACACTATTTCGATGATTTCCCGGACATCACTCTGAGCGAGATTAGGGTAGCTCTCTAGCACCTTAAAACCAGCAAGTCTCCAGGCGAGGATGAAATCAATGCAAAGCTTCTGAAAGCGTGTGAAACATCGGTACTTAAAGTCCTGCAGAATCTCTTCAATTTTTTCTTCCATAGTGGCACTACTCCGGAGGCGTGGAGCAGAAGTGCACTGGTCTTATTCTTCAAGAAAGGCGACAGCGCTGTCTTGAAGAACTGCCAACCGATTTCCCTTCTGAACCACGTCTACGTGCTGTTTTCGAGATTCATTACGAATCGTCTCTCACGCAGACTCAAAGACTTTCAGCCTCCCGAACAAGCCTGTTTCAGAAATGGCGTCGGTATCATAGACCACATACATACCCTGCGGAAGATTGTACTGAAGACCGAAGGTACAATCTGCTACTTTTCTTGGCGTATGTGGCCTATGAAAAGCCTTTGATTCAGTCGAAATTTGGGTGGCGCTACAGTCCCTTCGGCGGTGCCAAGTTGACTGTCGGTATATCGAAGTGCTGAAGTGTTTGTACATTATGGCTTTCCGAGTACTCCGGTTCTGAGTTATATTTTATCCGGAATGTTAGAATAATTTTTTGAGACAACGAAAAATATACATTACACAGTGGCTTTAATTAATTTTAATCTAAATAACGACAACATTAATAGATACTATCCGGTGTCAGGTATGTTAAGTCAGGGTTAGTCGCTAGTTTAAATAAGTTTACATTTAGTAAGAATATAATACGTATAATAATTCAACTCGAGTAAACAGTGAAAATTAATGTTAACCTAGATAATACGTAACGTATGTATAATATAATAAATCACTGACCCTTTTTACTAATGAACTGTTCCATCTTAGTCCTTAAGTGACACAAAATGCTTATGCGTGGGTACTCATAAGCATTTTGATTCTCAATCGATGATAGTCGGAAATGTCAATGGGCCACAGCATCCACTTATTAAAATAAATAAAGCAAGGCAACAATAATGATGACTTTGTGAATGGAATTGACTACTAACGCAGTTATTATATGAGTATATACTGTGCCATAAAGACAAACTATCTCTGTATACCTAGATCCAGATATCAGCACCGTTAATAAAAGGGTGTACTCGAAAAATGCTCAGTCTGAATATAATTGCTTCGTGTTGCCTAACTTCCTGAGTAAAATCCTTAAGCCCGTTTCTTTGTAATAAAAGTAGTTTTGTATTATTTGTTGTTTGTTTACTATCTAACTAAATTAATGTATATAATAAAAACTGTCAAAGTAAGAGGCTGTTTAATTGGCACAAACCGCCTATTAGTTTC